TTGTTTTATTTTTGATATATTTAAGGGTTTGCGTTTTAACACGTTTAAAAATATGGATGCTAACTTTCGAGAAGATTTACTTGTATTTGTTATCTCAGGATATTGATATTTTTCTCAGTATAAATAATTTCGTATAAACATTAAAAAATCACCACTTTTCATTACGGTAAAGTGACTTATGCCACTTTCAAAATAAACGGCTCATATAATAATATATAATAAGCGTATTAGTATATTGAAAATGACGTATTTAAATTATCAATATGAACATTTTGGTATTCTTCTGTGGAATATATTTCTTAATTTTTCTTTTAAATGCGAGGTACTTTCTGAAATTTTTGGTGTCAACTGTCCTATAATTTTTTAAGATTACATAGGTGATAGTAAGATATTTACACAATGACAGTCAAAGTTGGCCAATTTTTATCAAAAATTTGGATTAGATTAGATAAATAATTCTTTTAAAAATTACATCTTTTCTTAATTCAAAGTAATGATTGCTAAAGTATTGTTTGAAATATCTAAATATATATCTTGTAGAATGAAACAAAATAACGATTTTTGATGGTCTCGTGTTCCATACCTCATTCGACTTTTTAAAGTAAATCTAAGAAAAAATAAACATAAAATACACATTTTGCCAATTTCGACTCTTCTGTCAGAGGCCTTTTCATGACGGGAGCCTCAGGCTCACGCCACATTTGCCTTGGGATTAATCCGCCACTGGTTTTACCATAAAATGCCTGCACTTTGTCGGATAAGTTCATCCTTGTAACGTGTCGTAAAACACGAAGACTTGGTCATATCCACAGCTAGAAATCACAAGGATTCCCACTAATTTTTCAACTCCATCTTTTCTAATTTTTCCCATGATGTTCCCATGATGTTTTTCGTCTCATTAAACTGTCATTGCATCAAGCTTTCTATTATAAAATGTCTATCATAATGTTTTGGCAAATTCGGCTCAGTTTGCTTCGATGACAGCGAATTGAGGCACGGCTTATTATTGAATCGTCTAAATTACGACAAAAATTATGATAAAAATATATTTTTTGCAATGCTTGACGAAATTTTTCTTCTTGAAAATTAATTCTTGAGATTTCAAGGTCATGAAATCTTTTTTCTACGTTAACCTTGTACTTTTTTTGTCAGCATCAATATAGAACATGGAAAGACAAATTCAACGAGGTACGAAGATGTATAGGGTGTTTATTTTATCTTGCACATTGGAGTATCTACGTCACTTTTGTTGTCATAAAAAAACGTCTTAGAACAACTTTCTTTAGTTGAAAGCTGCTAAGAATATCACGATTCGTGTTTTTCTTTTCTCTCTAGGTCATTTTTTTTCAAGCATTGAAGAACATCGTTATTTTTGCACATTAACCTCTATTTTTTATAACGCAGCTCTGTGGTTCAGATCAAGATGAATTCTACGATCCTCGACGCAGTGACCTTTAAATAACTTTGAATGAAAAAATCACGCTAATTTAATCGCGATCAACAAAATTCAGAAATTTCAACTTCTCGTAAGTAATAAATTTACTTATGGTACAAAATGTCTTCGATGACCTTCAATGCTGAAAAAAGAAGATACTGTCGATGATAAGATTTATATACGCATGTACGCGTCAATCAGAAAAATTATAATCACAAACCAAAGATTCCACCTCAAATCAGATTAGCTTGAAAGAAGAGCAATAGGAGATATTAATGAATATTTTCTAGCGCTGTTCGATGCGAGTAACGGCGATAAAGAACGTGAAGAACCACCGCTTGTACAAATCATTGAGAATAACAGATTCTTTAAACATTTGCACAGACGTTGCATGTCTCAATTCATATACCGACGGCTGCTGCTTGCAACACAATCTTCATGTAACAAAAAAAAAATTAGATGCAATCGCACATTCAGCTTCATGCTCGGCGATACAGGCCCGTGACGCGTGTAAAACACGCATTTTCGAAACTCGAAACCGAATAATGGAACGTATTTCATTCAACCGATTGTTTGGCAAACACCAAACTCATTTCATTCCTGTTTGAAATACGAAACGTGTTCGTGTCACGTATTTTATGCGGCTCTAATTTGTCGGAGATTAAGCGTGTGATTGAAAAACGAAGAGACCGGAGATTAGGAAGTTTAATTTTACAGCTATACAGATACATGTACATTGTACACGTTGCATGTATGCGTGGTTTATCGTTTTGTATGTAGAATAAGATCGACGTAATCAACGCAATTCAATGTATAGTAAAGAAAACTTGACAATTTGGGAAGAGGAGATACGATTATTCGAGCCTCGCGACTCACTTTTATAGTTGCCGATTGTCAACAATTCTAAAAACGAGGTGCAAGGCTCGAATAATTGTATCTCCACTTCCCAAATTGCCCATTTTTATTTACAAACTGAAGAAAAATTGGGCAAAATTTACTGTGCATACATAAAGGCGTGTACTTGATAAAATGATTCCTAAAATAAAACGTCATTGAGTACAATTGTTATATATATTGCCAATTTGTAAGCTCAAGATAATTCGAAGGTCATTGTATGGTGGATCACTGAATTCATTTTTTCATCAGCTATAACAATATGGAGTTAAAAATACATAGTGCTATTTCAAAAAGTCAGGGTGACCTTAGTTTTTTATTGAATAAAAAAATTTTTCGCAATTTTTATTAATACACTTTATTCCCATCAAAGTACCGAATAACTATTATTCGAAATATTTTTTTGTCGGATTGGTCTAAATGCCTAAAAGATCGTGGCGACCGTTACGGTGAACACCCTGTATATATGTACATTGTGTATATAGCTATATACATATAGCTATTTGATCTATTCACCTACTACGTTTAAAATGCGTATTAAATTAGTGCTGTTCGTTTCTATATGCAAAACAAAATATTTTACTATCCGAAACGTCTCGCAAAATCAAATTCGAAAAAAAATTAAATAGACAAAAACTAGTTACAATCGCTTCGATTAAACAAATATGAGTATTTAGTAACGATAGTAGTGTACTAATCCAAATAGCAATCGTGGATCCTGAAACGAATCGGGTGCAGAAAAATTCCGGGAGACTTACGTCATTTATAGTTGAAAAGTGTGGTGCTGCGATCGAGTGCGCGATCTTCCGAAGCCTTCATTTTTCCATATTCGTGGTCGTCGAATTCGTCCAGATCATCACGTTGACGACAAGAGTCGAAAGACGCACAAACACGCACGAACGTATGCGGGAAAAGTCGAATAACGAGGGTGAGGTTACACGATGCAATCGTATGGTCTTCCCTCCACTCGGTAAATTCGTTCGCGTTAAAAGACCTTACTTCCGGTGCAATTCCCGTGCACACCGATTTCGTGTTCACTGCACATCAACACACTGGCGGCTTCTTCTCCGCACGATCGTGGTGGTACGTGGCGGAACGTAGGACTAGGCGTGTTTCAGAAAAACAGTAATTATTAGAAATGAGTCGGCATATTTTTCAGATCTTTCTAAACTTGTTTCTCTTGGCGGAAGAAAAAAAGACCCGTGGCTCGGATACGTAAACTTTGATAGCGACCGAAGACAACGTGGGCGCATGAAAATACGGTGAAAATGACGTTCGCTCGTTCGAAGAACACGTGCATTAAAGGAGATCGCGAGTATTTAAAATCACATAATTATCTTTCTTTCCTTAATGTCTATTTACAGTGCTATGAGGCAGCGTAAGTAAAGGTATTGCCAGGGACTCGCCAGCCGTAAGAACATCAGAACATGTCCCCACTTTTCTAGCCGCGACGGAAAGAGAAAAGGAGTAGGGGCCGCCGAGAGCGACGCGACGCGACACTCCCCGTTTCTAGTCCTTTTCTCCTTTCTTTGCGTTCGACAGTGGTTAGACAAGAGAGGACAAGCTTTGAAGTTCCTACGGTCCGCGAGCTCTGGGTATTGCACACTCGCTGCGAGGAGTATGTTGACAGCTTTTCAAACGGAATAACTTCTTTAACACTAGATTTACGGAACCCGTCAAAACGACGAGTCACTTAATTTTTTAACTTACGACTATTCATATCGTAAAAATACATTTTATGAGTTATTTATTCAATTTGTATGTGACTTACTGCAAATGTTACAGTAATACTTGTTAAAAATCAGAATAAATGTCTTATTGTTACTTTTATAAATTGATATAAAACAGCTATTTTTTTGTGCTCCGTAAATCTAGTGTTCAAATTTATCTAAATTACTGTAACCTTTTTGTGATGTTGATACTGACTAGTTTGGTAGGGAATAAGAAAAAATGTTTTTATTTAAAAATCGTGTTTTTCTTCGACTATTTTATCTGTGTCTGTCATGAAAATTTGAAACGTGCGTATTGTAAATCCTGGTAACTGATAGGCGTAATGAACATTTCATTGAAATCGATTAACGCAGAGTGAAGCTGCAGGCGTTGAAAGATTTTAAAAACTGCAGATTTCTTCGAGTTTATAAAGGAGAGTGTCAGAAATCAGCATCTTTAATTGTTTACAGCTTATATCTCAAGACCAACCGACGTCGATGAAACGCGTGTTTTCAATTTTCATTATAGGCTCGGATAAAGTTGAAAAAAANTTAAAAATCAGAATAAATGTCTTATTGTTACTTTTATAAATTGATATAAAACAGCTATTTTTTTGTGCTCCGTAAATCTAGTGTTCAAATTTATCTAAATTACTGTAACCTTTTTGTGATGTTGATACTGACTAGTTTGGTAGGGAATAAGAAAAAATGTTTTTATTTAAAAATCGTGTTTTTCTTCGACTATTTTATCTGTGTCTGTCATGAAAATTTGAAACGTGCGTATTGTAAATCCTGGTAACTGATAGGCGTAATGAACATTTCATTGAAATCGATTAACGCAGAGTGAAGCTGCAGGCGTTGAAAGATTTTAAAAACTGCAGATTTCTTCGAGTTTATAAAGGAGAGTGTCAGAAATCAGCATCTTTAATTGTTTACAGCTTATATCTCAAGACCAACCGACGTCGATGAAACGCGTGTTTTCAATTTTCATTATAGGCTCGGATAAAGTTGAAAAAAAACATGATCTTTTAATTTTTCTATCATCTCAACCAATTGAAACGTAACAAATATTTTTTACTTATTCGCCAGCAAATTAGTCGGGCTAGCAAAAAGGAATCAATTCATTTGGACCGATTTAAAAAGAATTATCCCATCTGGAAACGTGTCAACATACTTAACGAGTACATATGTAGGGTGAGGCACAAAGTCCCCACGATTTTTCAGCCCCTTCCGTTGGTCTGGCATAAAAATGTTTCCTGTCGAAGTTAATTAGTATTTAACCAAACAAGAAATTGAAAATGTTTAAATTTAAAGATAAATTGATTTTCCATAAAAAAACAAGATCACCGTTATATCTTTAAATGAAACTAGTTAATTTTAACTTCATAGTATTGTAGGCGTCGTCGAGACGAATTCAACGACCTGCGAATCACAATATTTGGTTTTATATAAATTTCTCTTTTGTTTCATGTGTTAAGATCCGAAATTGGATAAATAAGCATTTGTAATGTTTACGTTCATTTGTTTATGTTTACATGCGAGACCTTGAAGTTATGTATCGCCGAATTATTTCAAATATTGTGGCAATTGATTCATGGCAATTTTTTCTTCAATGTCATCTAAAGGTCATCGGTTAGCAGATCGTTGAATTCGTCTCGACGGTGTCCTTATTTTTTTATGGAAAATCAATTTGTTTTTAAATTTAAACAATTACAATTTCCTGTCAGTTAAATACTAATTAACTTCGATAGGAAACATTTTTTTGTCAAATCGTCGGAAGAAGCTAAAAAGACCTCATCCTGTATATAATACAGCTTCGAATGAGCGATGTATTTTGTTTGTACGAGCATATAAAAAAATGCATACACATCACGGGCCGGTATACGATTTTAAATTAGAAGTAGTAATATATTTTAGTTATTGTGATTCGTACAATTATTATGAAAATTCTAGGAATCCTATACCATTCAAAATCATGTTGACCATATACAAATGTCTTTATTGCACGGTAATTAAAAAAAAAAAAACACGTTGCTTTCATAACCAACAAATGCGTAACTAATGATTTCTTAAATCGCTCCTGCGATCAATTATATCTGATTTTTATGAAAATGTTGGAAACGAAGACTCTATTAATAACTGCAACATCTAGGATTTTGTTACCGTCGCGAGTCGTTCATCGAGACAAGTATTATTGCCTAATACAAGTCGTCAATGATTCAATTTGGAAAAACGCGAACACCGGCGATTAGTAATAATGACTTCAGAAACTTCGCCGTTCGCAGGATCCTTAAAAAAGCAGACACGAATAAAACGAAAACTGAGCGATAATAACAAAGTTTTGGTCAGAAAACCATTAACAACGTGGGAATAATCTTCGATACAAGAAAACATATTTCTGAGTCGCGTTTATTCATATATCTATCGAACAATTTACCTTTTCCATTAGATAAACCGTCTTTGTACTGTAAAAAGATATTGTAAATAAATTTCGAACAGATCCACAACGTGCCGAACGAGCGGGGCTCGATATTAATCAGTTCTCGAAAGTGAATTTAGCTTTGCCACGTATAGTTATCCCGAACTGATCCTGAATTGAACGTTTCAAATTATCGATCGCGCTGAAAGACTCGCCAACTTCGTCGCTTTCCCTAATTCGTCGGCAAGTTTTTCGACGCACGTTCTCGAACGTCCTACTTTCGATTCACGGCGAATCTAAGAAGAATCGATTTTTCGAACCGTGTACGCGAGAATTTCCTTTTTAAGCGGCTGCGAAGGTGCCCGCGATTCTGCACAGGAAAACGAGCCACGTCGAGAGCGAGATCGACGGACGTTTAGCAATGCCCGCTTCCTGACGCCGCGAACGCGTGTCGTAGAAGCCCGAACGCGTTCACCGTCGACGTTTCGTGTTAACTAGCCCCGGTGAAACTACGTATCTCCGAACGCGTATGAAATTGACTACTTTCGATCGCCGCGTGGAAAGACGAGCGTGATCCAGGCTCGGCTCGCAGGTGCCGAGCTACGTGCACCGTGGCATCGACTTCGACAACAGGGGCTCTAATTGCGATAGACAAAGCCTGCATATATACGCGAGTGGAACGAGACACAGCGCACGCATTCTTTTCCCCGGTTTTTCATCGTCGCCCGTTCAACTCGGTATCTGGCACAAGTGCATCGTACGCGTTGCACATACGGAGGACGCGCACTTTCGCTGTCGTTCCGCGGTGAACTAATCCTATCGTGACACAGTGTTCGGCGAGTATCCTTACGGGCAAACTATTCCCCGGTGTCCTGAATAATCGTGTCTTTGCCGCGGATATCGGCGTGCGTCGACGGGATGGCCTCCTTTCTATTCGGTTTCCTTGCTCTCTTCGAAAGAACGAGGGAACGACCGGGACGATTCACCAAAACGGAAAGGAAGCGATTGGAGGAAGAAACGGATAAAAACGAGCCCCGTCTCACGAGACGTTTCGCTCTCTCGATCCGGAGGTTTTCGCGTTCCGCGGATTCGAACTCGCGGGCATCTCCTCGCGGGGCGAACTTCGCGGCAACCCTCGCCGAGAACCCTCGCGGCCGAAAAACACGATCGAGCCCTGGAACGATCGGTGGCCGATCGGCAGCTCGACGGCCGATTTGCGCCGAGAAAACGGGGTCGCGAAAAAAAGAACCGTGACGCGAGCAGAGAGCACCGCGGGATTGGAAATTAATGCGAATGCGCGAGCGGACTCGGTCTAACTGCGGACGACGATACCCGTCGACGTCGGTAGCAAAAGTAGAAGGTGGGGAACGGAACCCGGGAACGGGGACCGCTCGACACTGGCGATTGTGATTGTTGCACGGCCGTACACGTACCGTGCATGCCACGGACAGAAGGTTGCCTCAGCGTCGATCACCACGCTACTGGTCATCCGTTCGTTTCAAAATCGGGAAAGTCGTCGATCCGAGAGAGGTTGTCCTTCTCGAAACCCTCTTTCGGTACCGATTGCCGTCCCCGCGCCCCGCCGCGCCGCGCAGCCGTCTCCTCGCCGAGTCGACAGTTAACGATCGGGCCCGATCGCGTTCCCGCCGATTACATTCGCATCTCCGCATTCTTCCGTTCCATATTCTTCGAATATGTACCCGAATTCGCTGGTATCAAGGTGAAAGGTCGCGCGCAGATTTCACAAGATCCGACTCGGTCGCTGACTGACACGACATTTTCAATCGTAACCACTCTGGACGAACGTGTATAAATTAATTCGACGACGACGCAGGTTTGTATAGGTCGCGAACCAAGAGAAAAAGAAAAAGCAAGAACGACGTTGCAGGACAGACGCCCGGAAGAGTCTATGCGCTGCGGCTACGCGTGACTCACTCGGCCGGACCGAATCTCCGGCGATTACACGCGGGTTTGGTTTGTAAATCTGTCGGTCTGGAGGCCTGGTGGACGCGGGTCGGACGTCGGGCCGCGGTAGAAAATGTATCCTGTTGGACGAAGATCGGTGAAAAAGACGTTGCCTGCGCCGCGGCGGGGAGACAAAGAGCGCAAAATAGAAGGGAAACGAACCGGAGGCTTGCGATTAGAGGCAATCGTTTTCCGGTTTTCCGTTCGCGAGCTATAAACCCGGCTGCGCTTGCTCTTGCCTTTTCCTTCCTGCTTGCTCGCTCCTGCGCCCGGGCAGCGCGTTCCGTTGCTCTGCTCGCCTCGTGAGAGGGAAAGTATTTTATACCACGCTTGGCTTGGCAAGAGAAAGGGGACACGGTTCGCTCCTAATTTCTGTTTTAAGTCGGTGAACCTATATGTATATTGTGGCCGAGCGTGTAACTCGACTCGCCGGGCAATATAACGCTGTAACGCCGTGCGAAAATATACGTATGTATGTTTGTATTTACGTATGTAAGCATATATCCATGTATTTATGTATATATGTATGTACGTATGTACGTATAAGGCATGTATGTATGTATGTATGTACGTATGTATGCATGTATGTACGAATGTGTGTATACTATTGTACGTGTAACATATTAGTGCAGGCGGCATACAGCGGAGAATACGCTTGCGCGGCATACACGCGGATCGGTTTATGGTACAGCGGCATTATTATCGTTCATATCGTCTCGTAATGGCTTCGACTGCGATACGACAAAGGTAAAATGAAGGAAAGGAAGGAACAAGGCGAGCCGAGCGACGGCGACGGCGACAGCGACGCGGAGGAGAACGAGCTGCTGGCGGTTTTCTATCGGAGAGACGAGGATGCAGCTTCCTGGCTAAAAGTGAAATCGTCTGTACGCCGACTTGTATCATAGCCGTTATTATATGTTATGCCAGGGGTTCGGACGGCATCAGACCACGATTACACCAGCTGCGAATTGTATATCGAGCCTCAACGTTCGCTCATCGCTGCGGCCACTAGCTCACGGTTTAATCGATTCGATGAAACCGAACACGTAAAACCGTTGATCGTCGTTCGGCCGTGTTAGCTCTCGTGAACGAGGTCTAAACCCAGTGAGCAGTCCGCGTATTGTTTCCAGCTGGTAGCCAGGTTCACTAGCCAAACACAAGACGCAGGTATCTGCGTTAATTACAAAAGTGAAAGTATGGGTCATTTACGATGCTAGCATGTATCTATGTATATGTAGATGCCCGTGTATGAAATAAAAAGAAATCTGGCGGCCCCTTCTTTCTATTCCTTTTACGTAATTGATCTTGATACTGTTCCTGCCATTCGACTGTTCGTACGGTGCTCCGCGGGATTCTCGAGATGTCGTTCTCGGCGGGAAGGTTGATTCGATGATAATTTTTCAAATTAATCGACCCTTTGGTTCGCGAGAAGAATCGTACGTCTTTTAATCTGTTCAGCTGTGGACGAAGCGTTTTCGCGTCACAACGGAAATGGCAATTTCACGTGTTACGACGAAAATACTTCTCCTATGATTTAAGTTAAAATGCTTGTGAAACATATTCATAAATTTCGCACATTTTAGAATAACTTTGGAACAGCTTGCCGAAAGAAACTGCGTCCAATGCGATCGATAAAAAGAAAACGCGTATAAAATTGATCTTAAAAATAGGTCGACGCAGCTAAGTGGTTAACGGTTGAAAAGATTCGCAACTATGTACTTTGCATTATTTTCTGCCATTTCCGAAGCGATTAATATTCTCGAAAACAGATAACGGTTTTGATGCAATCAACTGACGATTGCGTTTCTGCATCGTTCCCAATGTTTCAAAATCCACATTGGCCAAGTAACGTTGGAACGACGGGAACAGATGATTATCAAATGATATGCGAATAATTTTTGTTTCGTCGAATTATTCTTCTTAGCATCATATTTTAATTGAATCGCGAGAAAAATATGAGCCGTTAATTTTGATAGTGACATAAGTCACTTTTTCAAAAAAATCGAGTTAATGGTAACACTAATTGCAATCGAACGGTATCTTTTCATTTTTAACAAATTTGCGATCAATAAGTTGAGAACTATTGAGATTTGTTCGAGAGAAGTTTTGCTAATTAATGGTATAACAAACATGTTTATTTTGAAAGTAGCGTAAGTCGCTGTACTCAGGAAATTAATTGCGGGGCTTAGTGTAAAAGAAATAGAAACGTGTGATAAGTATGTGTGAAGTATTGTTTTGAATTATTTTTAGTATTTTTCACTGGAATTATTTTATTAAGTGCGAAAGAATAATGCAGTTTTGTAAATTATATTATACTGATGTGGCGGCTACCTCCAGACCCGCCAGCAGATGGCTATAAAATGTTTTATAAACTAACTTTAGATGAAAAAGATGAATTTCTAACTTTGGATTTGTCACCAAAAAGAGGAAGACCTAGGCGTTATTCACAAATAGAAATGGATCCGTTATACGCTGGATCTCCTCCTATTTCTTCAGCAAAATGCGAAGACATGATGGACTTGCTTAATTATATACCCCCAATATACCACAGTTATTTAAAAAATTTGAAACAAAACACGATTTCCGAGGACTTAATCACTCCTATTGATGACGAAAATTAAATTGAACTGATGTATTTTCATATAAATTACTTATACTTATGTTTCAAAATGTACTAATTATTTTTGTATTTTATGAATATTAAAATAAAAAATACTTAAATCAAACCTTTATATTAAATATGTTCATGGTATAAATTATTATTATATATGTAATTTATTCAACAATTTTAGTAAATCGCTGTCCTTTCAAAACATCACTTCAGTAGAATACGTCGGACAAAATTAATATATGTCAGTCATTTTCCTAAACTATTTATTTTGAAAGTAGCTTAAGTCACTTTACCGTAATGAAAAGTGGTGATTTTTTAATGTTTATACGAAATTATTTATACTGAGAAAAATATCGGTATCCTGAGATAACAAATTCAAGTAAATCTTCTCGAAAGATAGCATTCATATTTTTAAACGTGTTAAAACGCAAACCCTTAAATATATCGACTTCAAAACAAAGTGACTTATGCCACTTTCAAAATAAACGGCTCATATAATGTCTGATATCGTGTCTGTCGAGTGTCATTGTGCTTAATAATGTTCCCTATTGAATTATATCATCGGTTTTACCATGTTGTATAGTGCTTCGTAAGTGTGACAGCTAATACCTGAAAATTTCACAACATATAGGAAGTAGAAAGTGATTTTGTAATTTGTTCAATGGAAAGGCAGCAAATCCATGTCCACGTTTAATTTGTTGCTAACAAGGAGATCTCGCACCTGTGGGGTCGCCAATTTTATTCCAACATTTTTCTGGTGATTCTAGAGCAAAAATAAGTTGACACATATCCAAGCTTCTTCGCCAATGCTCATTATTTTTAATATTTGATTTTTAGGCTTGGATTATACAGGGTGGAGCACTTGGAATGAGTCACCTGAATAACTCGCTTGTTTTCAACAATAGAAAAGGAAGTGTCAAACAAAAGTTGTTTGATTTCTAGAGGCACTTAATAGGATGTCAATAATTTTTTTATAGGTGGAGGCGTAGAGAACATGTGAGGGTCAAACTTGTTTTTTTTTTTAATGGGATGACTTCATTTCTTATTCACATTCTGATAGAGCCTTTCAAGATAAATACAATGGCCTATAAATGAAAATCATTCAAGGTCACAACATATGTGAAATGAAACAACGAAATCAAACAACTTTTGTCTCTGACACTTTTTTTTCTATTGTTAAATACAAGCGAGTTATGTCAAGGCATGTCAATAATTGCTTTGCTTTACTTTTCGCGATATGTATTGTGAAAAACTGTTGCTACTACTATAACGAATTCTGCAGTATACGCATCTGTGGCGGTGTGTGTGCCAAATGCCAGCATATGACCATCGTTTGTTTATTTCTCTATGCAACACGACGCGTCGCCGTACAGTGATGCGATCTTATGAGCATTCGGGACAATAATCGTAAATTCTAAGCTAATTAATTTTTGACCTAAGTACGTTAATAATTTTTTAAAGGGAATACAAAAATGAATCGATTTGTACATAAATAATATACAGTTATGTTGAACAAAATTGCAATGATTTTGTTTTTTAATTGAATAAAAATATCTTTTATTAACATTTAGTATCGTAATTTTTTAGAAACTATGTAATGACTAATTTTTATTCGAAACATTTTTTATTAAAAATTACTAGGTGTCAGATAACACACATTCTAACATAATACATACATACATAACTGACACATATTTGAACACAATGCATAAGCAAGCAACAAATATTTAAATGTAACTAGGTAATAAATAATAAGAAATT